TTCCAGAGAGAAGATGAAGCCAGGAAATCGGGCAGGCTCCAGAAGCCAGGAAAGGCCAAGAAACAGGTTCCTCCTCTCAGGCTCCAGAAAGGAGCTTTGACTTTAGCCCAGTGAGAGGCCATTTAGGACTTCTGACCTTCAGGATACTAAGACAATAAACTATGATTTTTATTTTTATGTATTTACTTATTTAAGATAGGGTCTTCTTCTGCTGACAGGCTGGAGTGCAGTGAGTGGCACAATCATGGCTCACTGCGGCCTCAACCTCCCAGGCACAAGAAATCTTCTTACCTCAGCCTCCCAAGTAGCTGGGACTATAGGTATGCACCACCACACTTGGCTGACTTTTTTATTCTTTGTAGAGACAGTCTCTCTGTGTTGCCCAGGCTGGTCTTGAACGCCTGGGCTCAAGTGATCCTCCCGCCTCGACCTCCTAAAGTCCTAGGATTTCAGTCAGGAGCTACCATGCCCAGCAAATCCGTGTTGTTTTAAGTAACTCATTAGTTACAGCAGTAATAGGAAACTAACACAGATTTTGGATCTGGGAGCAGAGAGAGGCTGCCATGAACAGGGAAGTGACTTTAGAACTGGGCAATGGCAGATCTGGGAGGATTTGAGCATCATGAGAGGGCAGCCTGGATTGGTCTAAACAGATGGCCAGCAGGAAGGTGCACATGAACAGCCCTGTTGGTGAAGAAGGAAGTGAGAAGCATGGCAGAGAAAACCTGCATCCCCATAGTGAAGAGCTCCACCAGGAGAAGCCAGTTACAGGTGGAAGCCTGGGGTTGGAATGAGGACTGCATTATTGGAAGCTGGAGGAACAGGGATGCGGTGCTGGAGAGCTCAGCTGAGTCGTACCCCACAGCTATGAGGGAAGTCAAACCGTGTGCGATGAAGCTGGATATTTAGCTGAGGAGATTTCCAAGCAAAGTGTGGAAGGTGTGGATTTTTCTTGCTGTTTACATTAAGATGATGAAGAACAGACAGTATGAGAGAAGAACTGTTCAACAAAGAGGAGCAGGGCTTGGTGATGTGGGCAGTCCTCAGTCATAGATTGCTGGGAAGCTCACGTTATGAGGCCCACCATCTGGAACGCCTGTGCTGGAGCGCAGGCCCACCATCCAGAACACCCGCACTGGAGACCAGGCCCTGGCGTGGCCATACAACCTTCTGCTGGTGCCTCAGAAGGACCCAAAGGCCAGAGCCTTCAGTCACCCAGAGGACTCTGAAGAGACCAGGATGTGGACACCTTTTGGAGGGGGCCACTATTCTGTTGTCACAGCCTGGCATCAGGCTCCTACAGACGTGCATCCATTCCACATGCAAAATGCATTCACTCCCTCAACACCTGGTCCCCACAGACGCAGCTGGAGCTGAAAGCCGGTGGACAGAAGCGGCTCTCATCTGGGTCCCTGCTGCCTTCCCAGCTGGGTCTTCAAGGGCCAGGTACTAGAAATGCAAACATGAGTCAGATACTGCCCCCCCCACCCCCTGGCCGCCAGGCCACGGCCTTGAGGAGGGAAGGAAAAGGAACGTAGAGGGCATCCTGTCTCCACGGATCTGGGGACCAGGTCTGTCCTGGGCACACCAGCCGCTTTCTCATCACCCCGTTGTATTTTCTTCAGAGCAACAATCAGATGTGAAGCTGTACCATTCACTTCCTGCCTGCCTTCCCCTCCTCTGGAAGCCACAGCCTGCACAGCAGCGGCCAGCCGACCTGCTCACCGCTGGAGAACGAGCGCCCAAGCAATGCCCAGCACCAGGGAAGCTCAGTTAATATTTGCCAAAATCACAACACCATTGTAAACCGTCTTAAGCAACCGGAGATGGAGAGGAACCCATGGGCGTGTTCTCCAGGGCTCTGCCTCCTCTGGGCAACCTCCTCTTGCTTCCTGGATTATCCACCCATGCACAGCAACCACTCCACATCTGTGTGCCCAGTTAGATAATGGTTGGGAGCGACAAGGGCCCCCTAAAAAGGCATAGTGGGATGAGGCGTGCTGGAGTTAGATGAACTGAGTTCTAAATCCCTCTTAACTTCCGTTGTCCTCCCATCTTTTTATTTTATTCGTTTTGTTGGAGACTTGCTCTGTCGCCAAGGCTGGAGTGCAGTGGCACAATCTTGGCTCACCGCACCCTCCACCTCCTGGGTTCAAGCAATTCTCCAGCTGCAGCCTCCCAAGTAGCTAGGATTACAGACCCCAGCCAACACACGCAGCTATTTTCGTATTTTTAGTAGAGACAGGGTTTCACCATGTTGGTCAGGCTGGTCTCAAACGCCTGACCGCAGCTATCTGTGGGCCTCGGCCTCCCAAAGTGTTGGGATTACAGACATGAGCCAGGGCCCCAGCCCTGTCTTCCCACCTTTAACATGCAAATGACCACACCTCCCTCTGGAGGACTGTTGCATCAACAGACTAGGCAATGCACTTGCACCCTGACTCCTGTATTCTCCCTCTTCAGCTCCATCCACCGCCCGCCTTGCTGGCCACAAGCAGCCAGGTACTGGGTGTAGACCGACCCCCCGGGCAAGCATTCTTCCTGTGAAACATCCTGTCACCCTCCACACCCCTGCACCCTCACCCCAGCCCACCCTGCCTGTGTTGCTAAAAGCAACTTCAAAATGGTTCCACCTCCAGCTAGTCCTTATCTTTCTACCTTGGTTATGACAACCACAACAAAAGCAGCTTGGGAAGCAATATCTGTGGGATGGAGAGATTCAGGAGCTAAACAAAGGGAGGCAAAGAACAGAGTCTCCTCAAAGTTAAAGTCTTAATTTCCAACAATGATTACAGAAAAGGCATCTGTTCCTATCTCTCTTTTCCCTTCAAGTACCCAGTCAGGCCACAGGCCACTGAGGAGCCAGGCATGGGTGCCCTGTGTCCCTGCCAACTCTGGGCCCGGGCCGCCTGAGTGTGTTCACAGGAGATCAGGAATGTGAAGAAGGGGGCCGGCCACCCTCTGCTCTGAGGAGCTCTACTAGAGTCACCCTTAGGGTCTTTTGAACAAGCAGCAGCAGCCTCAGCTGCCAGGAGATGAGCTGCCGCCCCCACCCCCAGGAACTCTTCAAGACATCCAGGACATCACATCAGCACAACTGCCAAAATCCTCTGGTGATCGAGATTCCGGCCGCATCATGCCCTTGGTGCTGAAGAAGCAAGAGACCAGTGGCAACGTAACTGCCACTTCATTCCCTCCGACGCAGGGGCCCATTCTAGCACTGCAGGGCAGCTCTTGTTCCAGAAACATCGGTCGCTGCAGGTTAACAGTCTGCCTCCAATGGTGGCCACTACAGGGGTTTCAGTTTGGGTCCCTCAGTAACACTCCTGCATTCACTTTGTAACTCATAAACCAAGTGCAGCAGTAAATCCCAGCCAGCCAGCGAATGCAGCAGAGGCGCAAAGCTTTGTATAAAAGCAAATTGGGTTTGATTTGACTTTGTACAAAAGCAAACTGGGTTCGTGAATTGAGTTTGATTTGACTCCTAGAGCTTGCATTCCATCATTACCAAATGCTCGGTGTGAGGGAGTCAGCTCAGTAAACCTCACCCTGCAACCTGGCAGTGGGGGAAGGCAGAGTTGGAGCAAAGATCAGGGAAATGCACATCTTCACCTGAGGGATATTGTTTTCACAAGATGATTGCCAGTAAATTAGTCACGACGTTAACTGGGATGATAATAAAAACACAAAGCATCAAAGAAGGCAAAAGGGAGGGGGAGAATTGGAAATGCCTCTGTGAACTTCGTTAATTCCGTTTTAAACAGAGAATTCATTATGATTTTGTTTATTCAGCACATTGGTGCACCAAAAATGGCAATTTAAAAATTTCAAACAGCGCCTTTGGGTATATGACTTTTTAAAGTGCTGACATAAAAGAAGTCAGAACTTTCAGAGTTTCAGGCTTCTGAAAACTCACACTCACTGAAAATGCGTCATACTACTTCCGTTTCTTCATTTACTTACAGCACCTTACTCTTTTTCAAGGAGAAGTGAATATATTCCATTACAATGCTACAATCGCCAGTGTGAGTTTCCAAAGTTAAACAGAAAGCTTGAATTGAGATCCTCAAAGTTGTGCTTTTGAAAAGTCACACCCGGGCGCGGTGGCTCACGCCTGTAATCCCAGCACTTTGGGAGTCTGAGGCAGGTGGATCATGAGGTCAGGAGTTCAAGACCAACCTGGCCAAGATGATGAAACCCCGCCTCTACTAAAAACTACAAAAAGTAGCCGGGCGCGGAGGCAGGCGCCTGTAAGCCCAGCTACTCGGGAGACTGAAGCAAGAGAATCGCTTGAACCCGGCCGGCAGAGGCTGCAGTGAGCTGAGATCGCGCCACCACACTCCAGTCTGGGCGACAGTGAGACTCCGTCTCAAAAAAAAAAAGTCACAAACACTACACACTAAAAATAACTGATTACCTATCTTAAAAATGCCTCCACAGGAAGTTACTCCAAACCCTTATGACGTATCTGAGACGAGATCAAGCAGAAGATAAACTGTAAACGGCTGATATGCCCCAGGCTGGGAGGTCCGGAGGCTCCAGTTCTGTCCTCTCTCGCGACTAAACCCAGCAGGAGAAACACTCTGTGCCTCAGTTTCTCTTTCTTAACAAGGGGCTAATAACACCAGCTCTGCTCGCCCCCCAAGTGAATCTCAAAGGAGATCGTGTTCCTGCGGGTACTTAAAAACTGAAAATACCCAACTGAGCAGCCACGGGAGCGTCCCTGGTTCCCGGGGCAGCAGAGCAGGAGCGCGGGGCCCGGGAGCAAAGGCCGCTGAGGGACACCCGTGACCCGCGCGTTCTCTGCACCCTGGATTGTCGCTGAGGTCACCGAGTGTGTGTCTGAGCAGGTGGAGCTCAGCCCAACCAGCGAGGGAGGACGAGTGGGAAGCCCCGGGAAGGGGCATCGCCGTCCGAGGCCGGGACCCTGTGCGCGTCCGGTGTCCCGCTGGTCCCCCGGGAGCCCCAGCGCGCCGTGTCTCCGGCGGCGCCGGCCTCACCTGCCGTGTCCCAGATGGAGATGTTGTAGGAGCGCCACTGCTTCAGGTAGAAGGCGCCGCCCACCGTGCTGACCGTGTCCGGGAAGCGCCGCTCCATGTACCGCTGCAGCAGCGACGTCTTCCCCACGTTCATGTCCCCCAGCAGCACGATCTTGCTGTCCGGCTTCCGCATCTTCCCGCAGGACCCCCGCGGCGCCCCGCGCGCTTTGCCCGAGGCTGGCCTGCTGGTGCGCTCCGGGCGCGGCTGGAGGAGCGGAGCCCGGACTCGCGGGGACCCGGATTCCCGGGGACGCTGCGGGACCTTCGCCTCCGGACGCCCAGGAGCGCAGGAGAGGAAGCGCGTGTGTGCGCCCGGGCAGGAGCTGGGGACTGAGCCCCGCGCCCGCGAAGGGGGCCCGGCCCGCGGCGGCTCCACCCGGCTCCCGCCCCCGCCCCCGCCCCTTCCACCGCCCGGACCCGCCCCCACCCGTCCGCCACGCGCGCCCCGCCGCGCCCCTGCTGGACTTCGCTCTTTCGCAAGAATCCGAGCTCTCCGGCCAGGGCTCAGGGCTGCTGCAAGGTGGAAAATGAAAGTTCTGGAGCACCTTCCGCCTCTCCTTCTGCACCGCCCGGGCTGCGGTGCCAGGAGCCTGGCCGCGGGGGCCGAGCGAGGCGGAGGGGCCGGGGCCCTTGGGGAACCCCCTTCTGGCTTCCGTTCTCCTTTAGGAAAAACCCGTGTTCCTCTCACTCTGACCAGCTCTCTTTCCAGCTGCGGCTGATTTGCTTCTCCGCGTGTCTCCAAATGCAGCGACCCTCAAGGTCACTGGAAAAGTTTGCCTTAAGTGAGTGTCTGCGGAACCGTCCTGAGACTCTCACGGTTGGAGATTAGAGGGGCCGGGGCGGAAGGCGGAGACGGAGGTGCTTTCTACTGGAGGATTTTACTTTTGTCCTTTTACTTTTGCAAGAAGCTCTTTATCCTATTTTGTACCTGAAAAATGGACAGCCATCTCCATTTATGGCTTGGAATGAAAATGTGACTTTAGAAGTTGCAATCGCTACTTGAGAAATATTTCCTCCTTCCCCGCCCACCCCTTTTTTTTTTTTTTTTCCTTTTTTGAGATGGAGTTTCCCTCTTGTTGCCCAGGCTGCAGTGTAGTGGCGGGATCTCGACTCACTGCAACCTCCTCCTTCTGCCTCAGCGATTCTCCTGCCTCAGCCTCCCGAGTGGCTGGGTTTATAGGCACCTGCCACCATGCCTAGCTAATTTTTGTATTTTTAGTAGAGACCGAGTTTCACCATGTTGACCAGGCTGGTCTGGAACTCCTGACCTTAAGTCAGGCCTCGGCCTCCCAAGTTCTCCTTCCTTTTTTTAGAGTAAACCTTGAAATGCTTTAAAAATATGCAGCGTGTGGAATTTGGTTTGTTGATTGGTTGGGGTTTTTTTAGAGAAAATGAGAGGTAGAATCCACTCTAAGTTGAACCCTGGGGACGGTGTCTCTGTGGCCACTGGCCTGGCTGAGAAAGGCAGTGAGACCCTGAGCAGGTTAGACCTAGCGTTGTAAAGGTGTTCTGTAAATGGAAGTAGGCCCGTTGCCTCGTCGGGTAGGTGCCCTGAGACTGACGAGGCAGGGATGCCAAGTGTTTAGCAGCTGCTCAGTCCTGGCATGTCAGGTTGCTGAGAAGAGCAGTGTGGGGCTCGGGTGGGGGCGTGCAAGGCACACCAAGAGACCACCCTGCTGCCTCGGAGCTCCAGGCTTCTTCTCAGCCAGCACTGCCTCTTCCTCAGAACAAATTTAAGTCAATTCAGCATTTATTCAACGCCTGTTGCATGCAAGTGTCAACCTAAATCACAGAGAGATCTCTGAAAGAAAAAGGTATTTATTTGCAGTAGAGCGTTGCAGTAGAAATATGCATGCCATGGTAAACTACGTGCATATTTATGGAAGCGAAGAAAGCAACGCGTTTTTTAAAATGAGGCAGATTACACAATTGTTTGCCAGTAATTACCTGTGGCTACAAAGAACCACAATGAAGGCGATGCAAGGTAGGGCAGTCAGTGGCTGGACCACAGCCGTGCAGGACTAACGTTCTGTGGAAGATTGCCCTGGCCTTTGTCCAAGGTTGTGGGTTTTCCAGAGTCCTTTTTGTTATCAGGCATGCACGTGTAAGAACTCTCTCCTCGTGGCCTTCCCCAGCTCTATGCGTAAGGGTTTTCTTTTTTTTTTTTTTTTTTTTTTTTTTTTTTTTTTTTTTTTTTGAGACTGAGTTTCGCTCTCGTTCCCCAGGCTGGAGTGCAATGGCGCGATCTCGGCTCACCGCAACCTCCGCCTCCTGGGTTCAGGCAATTCTCCTGCCTCAGCCTCCTGAGTAGCTGGGATTACAGGCACGCGCCACCATGCCCAGCTAATTTTTTTTTTGTATTTTTAGTAGAGACGGGGTTTCACCATGTTGACCAGGATGGTCTCGATCTCTTGACCTTGTGATCCACCCGTCTCGGCCTCCCAAAGTGCTGGGATTACAGGCTTGAGCCACCGCGCCCGGCTGCGTAAGGGTTTTCTTAACGTTAGTGACTCCATTTCAATTCTGACAGTTTTCACACAAGCTGCGGTGCCTGGCCTGGAGTGACACAAGCATGAGTGACGTTTGGTTCCTGTTGGCCGGGCACAGTGGCACACACCTGTAATCCTAACACTTTGGGAGGCCTAGGCAGATGGATCCTTTGAGCCCCGGAGTTCAAGATCAGCCTAGGCAACATAGGGAGACCCCCATCTCTATGAAAAATGCAAAAAAAAAAAAAAAAAAAAAAAAAAGACTCCATGCATGGTGGAGTGCCGTGTAGTCCTAGCTATTTGGGAGGCTGAAATGGAAGGATCACGTTAGCCCAGGGGGTCGGGAGTGCAGTGAGCCGTGACTGTGCCACCACCACACTCCAGCCTGGGAGACAGTAACACCCTGTCTCAAAAAAAGAAAGTTTGGTTTCTTCCCTGGAGAGGTTCACAATGAAATAGAAAATGAATAGCTTTGTTTAAACAAACTAAGCCAGGGCCACAAGGTCGTGGGTAGGTCTGAAAGGCCCACTGCAAAGGCACAGTGAGGATGGGCTGGGACTGGAGCCCGGAGACCGGCAGCTCCAATACGGAGGGACGTGCAGTGCCCGTAGCCCCACAGAGTCACCAGCCTCAGAGCAAGGACCGAAAGCCCTGGAACTGTGGAATCACACCCCTCCTTTTGAACGTTGAGACCAAGAGAGGGAAGAGAGTATGAAGGCTTGAGCTCCAACTTTCTTTCCTCGTCTGCCAGTCATCCCGTCCATCCTGCCCAATCCTGTGGCTGGAGGTGCAAGCACAGTCCTGCCCAGGAAAGTGCTGGAAGGGTAGGAAGCACCAGACAAATGTCAGGGATGGTCCGGGACAGGGGGAGAGGGTTCTCGTGCTTGTATGCCTGATAATAAGTCTGGAATAACTTGTGCGGAGCTGATTTCTCTTGTGCTCATTAGACACTGAGGAGCCCAGCTGGCGGCTCGCTTTCCTTCTTGCTCCTCCTGGGAGCTGGGCGCTGTAGGGCTGTTGGCCCCAAAGGGTCGTGGGGTGTCCCTTATGCTGTGCTGAGGTGCAGGATCTGAGAAGAGACAGGACATGAAGAACTGGTGAAGAACATCTGGACTCTGGGGCGGCGGGGGGCCACGCCACCTATGAGCAGAGACAGGTGAGGCCTGGAACTCTCAGAAGTGTCTGTATTTATTAGGTACAAGCAGGGGGAAGGGTTGTAAGTAAGGTCATCATCTATAGGCTTAGTGATAGGGCATACATAATCACATGAGTCACAAGCGAGGGGGCCACCCCATTAGGTCACCTGGGCAGAGAGGCTGGCCATGCCATGCGCAGTAGTAGAGGGTCGTGTACAGAAAAGGGGCCCACACCCATTAGGTCACTGAGGCAAGGAGGTGGACTGTGTACAACAGGTGTCGTACACAACACTTCTCATCTGGGGGCTGGAGACTTCAAAGGATTTCTAATAGAAGGATACTGTAAGCCAACGCAGTGGGAACTGACAGACTTGTGCTCTTCTCTTAAGATATTTATGGGAGGATGATGTGAGCTAGCACAGAGTGAGAAAAGACCGACAGGGTGTCCAACCGCTGTGACTGGTCACACCAGAGGGTTCTTCTCCCTCAGTTACTTCCAGGATCTCAGGCCTGAGGCCGACTTTCCACAGGAACTGGATGCAAGGTACTACAACTCCTTTATCAGGAGGAGAGGCTCTTGCTCCAAGCCTGCCATACAGCGTGTGCCCTTTCAGGCAGAGACGCCATCACCTGGGTCTTTGGTTCTTGTCCTGGTCTGGCTGTTTACCCATGTGCTGCTTCTGTTCTGTGACTGCTCTAGGAATTCCTCCTACTACGAACTACTATATGGTTATATGGAAGGATTATGTAAATCCACACTAAATGTGTCAGTACAGCTCCGACTACATCCGTTACATGATTATATAGAAAGATTATATGGAACTAAGTATGATTATATATATAAGCTAGATATAGTAAGCAGTATGTTATACTTCAGGCACTAATTGTGCTTGGGATCTACACAGTTCTCCTTCCTCGGTACCATCTTCCCTGTCACCTTTCATTCAGGGCCAGACTTCCCTCTGCACCCTCTTCTCCTGAGCCTGTACCGTCTCACTTCCGTGCCTACCTCTCTCTAGAGAAGCTGCCTCCTAAGGCCACGAATGACTGGCTTGTTTCCTCCTTTTGAGACAGAGTCTCGCTCTGTCATCCAGGCTGGAGTGCGGTGGTGCAATCATGGCTCACTGCAGCCTCGACCTCCCAGGTTCAAGTGATCCTCCCACCTCAGCCTCCTGAGTAGTTGAGACTGCAGGTCATGCCACCACCCCTGGCTATTTTTTTCAAATTTTCTGTATAGATGAGATCTTGCTATGTTGCCCCAGCTGGTCTCAAACTCATGGTCTCAAGTGATCCTCCTGCCTTGGCCTCCCAGAGTGCTGGGATTACAGGCACAAACCACCGCACCAGCAGTAACTGGCTTGTTTCTTTTTCTTTCTTTCTTTCTTTCTTTCTTTTTTTTTTTTTTTTTGAGATGGAGTTTCGCTCTTGTTACCCAGGCTGGAGTGCAATGGCGCGATCTCGGCTCACCGCAACCTCCGCCTCCTGGGTTCAGGCAATTCTCCTGCCTCAGCCTCCTGAGTAGCTGAGATTACAGGCACGCGCCACCATGCGACTGGCTTGTTTCTAAATCCAGCAAACTCTCTCCATCCTCACGTGCTTCCGTGCCCTGCCGGTGGTCAGCACTCCTCTGGTATTCCCTCTTGGGACTCACATCCCACCACATCTCACATCACTGCAATCCTCCCATCCTCTCACCGGGAGGTTTGTCTGTTTGTTTGGGGAAATATATTTAAAGTAGAGAATAATATAAAAGATGCCAGCAGTGTCCCTA